TCCCTGTAAGTCGGCGTCTATGGCCTTCAGTTGGCTGAACAGAAGTGAATTTCCTCCAAGTAAACTCACGCCTACCGGAAAGTTTGCTCTAGAACAGGCTTAAAAATAGTGCATTTACCTTAGACGAGCCAAACGTTGGCCCAGTGTCATCATCGCTTGAATTTTTTCGTTCTGAATCTCCCACATGGCGCATCGTTTCACAACCGATTCTTCTGCGGTTATTCTCTACCAGCATTTAAGCAGCATTCGATTCAGAACTTATCCTCCTATGTCGGCCCGAAAATCACATGACCGATCGGGTTCGTTTGTCAATCGGTCGGATAGGTCACAACAACAGACCTGGCGTTTGNCCCAGTGAACTGTACAGCAGGCGTGCCTTCACCACACGGATGGACTGGACATGACAACAAGATCATCTCAAAATAAACAAGACAATGTGAAACGATAGAGAAATCGGACTATCGGACTATCCACATAGCAACATGACATATTCAATTGATACTCGGGCATCTTACATTGAAAAAGGTATGCTTTATGAATGACGTTAAGACATCACTAGTTGAACTTAGTCCGACTAACAACGGTCATGAGGAATGCATCAATCGGTTTGAACATACACTAGTAACAACAGAAGCGAACGAATGCGTAACTGTCTACAGATGCTAATGGAACACATTTTTCAATAGAAAATCAGGAATAGATTGCACAACGAACAATCCCTGTGAAAATCGGAAGAAAGTCAATGTTCTGAGTATACCCCGTAACAGATATTTCACTCATTCTAGGTGTTCTTTCCTTCTCGTTGTATTCGAACTGGTTCACCTTTATTTTCCTTTATTAGGTTTATAAGGATGTGGATATTATAGCTAAAACAGTTTTATATTACGGTGGACGTCATATAATCAATTCTGTGGTTACCCTGACATTGCAACAGAATGAAGAAATATCTGGAATTAATACGGGATAATTGGGTCAGTTACCGTTCCCCTGAAGAAAGATAAGTAGTTTTTGTATAACCAGAAACTTCGAACTGAAAATAGCTGAATACCGCATGTAATTTACGGATATTAAGCTGAGGGCGTCATAAAAGATTTAAATTCCTTTCATACAGACAGGATACACAGGACGGTAGATTTAAATTCCGTAATAAATAAACAGTTAACAATAATAAATAATGGCAACAACTAACGGGATTAGCCTACTTTTCATCGATCCGGTTTATTTTGTCACAAAACTTTCAACCGATTTTCATACCACTTATTAGCATCTACTACTGTTTACCCTACTATGTCGCAGTCCGAGCTTGCGGTACTTTATCTCCCAAGTTTCCCACGGAAGGTGGTGTTCGTCAGGGTTGCTCTCTCTCTCCTTTTCCATTTAACTTTGTTATAGATTTGATTATTGAAACAGTCCCATCCTCGTTCGAGGACAGTGGCATTGATTCGCATCCAGGTGATAGACTGCCTAATCTGGAACATGCATACGACGTTGTGCTCCTAAGTGAATATCTAGTCAAGTTGCAAGCTTTTCTGGATCGTTTAAAGGCTAGTTTAACATGCATTTTGCACTAGGTTGGTCCTGCACCGATCCTCACTCTGACTGGGGAATTAATAGAAGAAAAGGATAATTTCTTTGCGGTCAGCTACATCTTACTCAGTGGACGCATCACGGATGGAGTGTCTGCTCGCGTACAAAATGCTCGATTGGCATTAGCCAACTTGAGACATCTGTGGCGCCGTCGCGACAGTCTGCTGTCTGTGAAAGGTCGAGGGTATGCCGCTGCAGTTCAGCCAGTTCTGCTATACGGAGCAGAAACTTCGGTGTTTGAACAGCAGAGTCTACGCCGTATTGCGCGAATCTGGTAGGGCAGCCGGACGAGCAAGGCTGAGGTTAGACGTGATCACCCACTGGAAAAAGTAATCGACGTCCATGCTGGGGCATGTGTTACGCATGTCACCAAATAGGTTGCCTCAAGGCGCGATGTTTGCAGTTA